GCTATGAAGACAAGGAAATATAAGAATTTCTGAACCCATTTTTTTACTTGATACAACACAGAAAGTTGGTCTTAAACCTGAAACGTATCACTAGTTTCATTTAGCAAGAATTTTAGTTTAAATTAACTACAGCTCCGTTTGCTCAAGCAAAGGTAAAAATGGAAAGATTAAAAATAATAACAGCCCCAAATTAACAGCAAAGGCTCAAGGCCAGATTGCTGAAGATGAACCCACGTGAGCAATGCTGGGACTGGCAGGAACCAGCCCTTGCTCTCAGCTCTGTGCCTGGCTTTTAAATCCCTTTAAGGAGAACTGATGATGGAGACAGAGCCAGCTTTTACAGTGCCAGCCCAGCTGGGGATCAACACTGTAAAACCAATCACATAAAACTCCAAATCAAATCTCAGTCGTAATGAAAACCTTAAGGTGACGACCAGCCCCGGCAGAAGGCATCCCTCTAGTCGGCTGCCTGCCTCTCACCGCATCGCACCACTGACGTCATTCCTCTCCCTGCTGTAGGAGCTGTAATGAGATTCAGTATCTCGTGTCTCTTCATACAAGTCTGCTTCACCGTTACCGAGCTAGTAATTAGAGAAGAAAGGGGAAGGGGAGCAGGGTAGTCAGGCTAGCATGTTTCTTCCTCTTTCTCTTGTCCTTCACCTGGGATTGCAGTGGGTTCGCTGCCGGGAGCTGCCTCTTGCATAATCTTGAGCCGTCTCTCACACTCCCTTCAGCCTCTGGGTCTCTCAGGGGCAATGCTGTATCCCAACGCGGCATGCAGCCCCTACACAGAGCGCAAGGGGAGTCTGAGGGCTGTTGTTCCTGCACTGCAAACATCTGTGTTACTATTTTTGAGGTCCACAGCAGGCACTGCCTCAGGGTTTGACAGGAACCTGCTCTAACCCCACATTTATGTAGCACATCTCTGGGCAAGGAGGAAAGGGCTTTCCCCACAACACCCATTGCAGCAAACTGAGTGCTGCTGTCCTGCACACTGGGGCCAGGGCCATGCCAACCCAGCTGCTGCTGGGGCATCAGCAAGTTCTTCTCTACAGTAATTACTTCTGTGAGCCACAAAAACCAGAGGAAATACAACCTTTTCCTCTTAATGAGTGCCCTTTCCTGACTTTCCATCAATATACCAACAGGAGCTCTCTTTCTTCATTCATTATTGTCAATGTTCTGTTTCTTGTTGCATTCCCAGTGTTTTTAGTAGAGGTCTTTGCTTAAGAATACTGTTATGGACTCCTGAACAGGGGGTAGTCATTAACAGAAAAATCAAATTAGCCATCCCAAAGCACAGATGAGGCATGGGGAAGCTCATCCGGGGAAGCTGGAGCTGTGGAAGGTGATGAGGATTGGGCAATGCTGGGGGGCACTGTGTTGCTTTTCACCAGCATGGAGCAGCCAGCAGAAATGAGTTTTACATAGGAATAATTTGTCACCAACCCAGACACTAAGGAATATTCATGCCTGTAAATACCTAGGCCTCTCCTTCTGACTTGATTGCTGTTTTAGTTAATTTACCCTAATGAAGACGAGTGTTTCGGTACAAACAGCGGTTGCTAACAAGCACGTGGTGGCAGTAGGAAGTGCCAGCCGGCAAGGCGGCAGCCAAGGAAAACCGACCCAGGCTGCCTGATGATGAAGAGCTGCACAGCTCCAAAACTTGGCTGCATCTCCCCGAGCCCGGCTTGTCCTCTCCAGGCCACAGCTCCCTTCATCTTCCCAGATTTATCATGCCGAGAGCAAATAAATAGCCACAATTAAAAACTCCTTCCTTCTGGCTATGCGATTCTACCAAGGCAGGGTTAGTGGAGCAGAGCAGAAGCGAATTGTCTCTGCCTCGTGTAAAGGTTGTCATCCATGAGATTATTTTTTTTATGGTTTCAAATGGAGTGACAGGATGTTTTCCAAGCTACAGAGCAGCAATATGCTGATCTCACTTAAACATCTGGAATAGTTTTGAATGATTGCTTTAATTTAATACAGCAGCAGTTATAGAGTTATTTTGTTTTGGAGGCTTTTTTTTTCCCCTTGTTGACTTAGGAGGGGCCATATGAACTGCAGGGCTATGCTGGGCTGCCATGCAGAAGCACCCCTGGTCTCAGCCCAACCCCAGGCAGCTGGAACAGCTCAGCAGCCTAAATCTGGGCACATCAGAGACCCACCAGCCAGTTCCTGCTTTAAATTTAAACCATTTAAAGTATTTAATTTTTAAAATTAAAATAAAAAAAAAGATATATTTTAGCAATTTAAAATTGTTCCTAGAAAAGACTGCCAGTCTTCACAAACCCTTATTCCTAGAAAAGACTGCCAGTTCTTCACAAACCCTTCCCTGCCACCCTTCCCAAACCCTTCATCGGCTACCACAGATACCGCAGACAAGATGATGAAAGATTGCAGGTTTCAAACCACATCTGTCCCAACCTCCTTAAAACACAGGGCAGGTACTGCCATGCCAAAGCACAAAGTTGGTGATGGGAGCAAGGAGCAGCCCACAGCCTCAGCAACTCCATTCCTGTCTTTTCTGGTGGCCTAGCAGCCCCTCTGTGACAATCACAGCCTTCACAAAAGCATCCAGATATGGTATAAAGACATCAAGAGACACAAATCATCTCTTCCCAGTGTCCATTTCTTTCCACAGTTAATCACCCAACTTTTATTTGTCCACCCTCAACATCCAGCCACTGATTCCCAGTATGCTTTTCCTTATAAGAGTTAAGAGCTGACTTTTCAGTATCAATGCTTTTCACCTTACAACAGGTTTTTGACATGAGTAAACCAAGGATGGGTTCACTTGGGAAAGATATTTTCTTACAGTACAAGAAAATACCTTTTGCACAGAGATAAGAACATTGAAGTTGTAACAGTTAAAAAAACAGTTCAAAAACTTCCCCTCTACTTCTAGGCCAGTTTAGGTCAATTTGGCACAATCCTAAGGGTAGCAATCTGAGTCTTGCAAATTCAACTAGAAGCATTCAAAAACTCCAAGGAAAATAATTAAATAAAGAATGGGAAGTGGCTGGGTGAAGTGCAGCAAGACTTCTTTGCCAGCCCGTGTTTCAGAGATACTGTGTTTTGGATAAAAGGAGGATGAATTCTGGGTGGTGATCACTTTGTTTAGAGGAGTTGTTTTCCCTGTGGCTGAAACACCGCACTGGCAAAGGAGAGCTACCAGCACATGAGCACACTGCCCTGAGGACTGCTCTGCCAGATCCCAGCTTGCTGTGGCTCAGCTGCCCCTTCCAACACAAACCTTCAGCTAAATCAGAAAGTAAAACCTAGCCTGAGACCCAGCTACAAACCAGACGATTCCTTGAGCAACCCAAAGCCAAACCCATTTTTTTTTCTTAACCCAAAAATGCACATTTTCTAAAGAGCAGTAACTATTTTATTCTTATTTATTCGTAGCCAGGACATCCAGCCTTTCAACCCGTGGTTGCCCAAGGGAAAAATATCAGCACAGTTTGAACTGTGATCAACCAAAACATGAAATAAAAGCTGTGTTTTACTTAATAAAGTCCAGCAAACAAGACTAGCTGGTGGTCATGATGTGATTTGTATTGGATGTAAAGATGGAAAAATAACTGTTTTGTCTTCAAGGCAATAAAAAAAATAGATCTGTATTAACAAGAAGCTACCAGGTTAAAATTCATATTTAATGAACCTTTTCCTGTTCTGTTACATTGGCATGCAGAGACCAAGAATTCTTGTTATTTTGCTCTAAGTCAAGAAGTCATCATGTGTCACTAGGAAGTCGTTGCTGTTGGTATTAGGATGTCGCCTGAGAACTACACAGTTTGCTAAAGAACAGCACAAAGAGCTGGAGGATGGCAGTTCCTGAAAACATGACTTGAGATAAAAAAGCACAGAGAAAGAGAAAAACAAGAGGATGCCATGATTTTTAAGACAACCCTAGAGTAGATGGGCTCAGGCAGGATCATTTAGAAGTACTTAAGAACAGCTGCAGCCAGCCATGCTCTTGGCCAGTCACTCTCCAGTGGATAGTAGAGCCAGTACTGCTTCTGCTGAGCTTTGCTCCCAGGCTGTCTTAGCAACACAGAAGCCAGACCCCAAAGCATGGTGCAGGTACACCAGAAAAGTGTATCAATAAATATATAAATAAATAAATAAATAAATTTAAAAAGTGTTCCTGAACCAGTTTTCAATAACTACAATAACAAAGTGGTAAATTGAATGATGAAACCACACCAAGGACTCTTTTTAACCACATGATTCATCAGGACCTGAACAAGCAGCACCCTTTAAAACTTCCCCTTTTGGGTTCACCAGAATAACAGCAACACACAAACAGAAAAACCAACCAGGAGCAGCTTCTATAGCACCAAAAAACAATCACATGTCCCTGTAAGTGCCAATTTGCAGTGATCAATCACCATATGCAGCCACAGCCTGGCCCAGGCGGGCAGCAGCCTCAGCATACTTGCTACAGGAGCAAAGCTAAAGTCCCACACTCTTGTTTTGGTGTGGATGGAGCACAGTGATGTCCCACAGTGTGGAATTTGGTGATGGTGTGCTGACACATGGTGCCAGCAGGAACATCCCTGCTTCTGGAATATGCTGTGGCACTGCCAAACTTGGAGTCAGGCTTGCTCCCCACCATGACCCAATGTGCCACAGTGGCTACCAGCATAGTCGTTATTGCTTCTGGTAGAAATTAAGCCATGTAATGGGCACTTGGAGGGTATCAGAGCTCTGCTGCTTATGGGGCTGTATTAGTAACTAGGACTAAAACCACGCAGACAAACAAAAAGGGGGACAGAGCATCTCTGTTGTATCAAACACTTAGGATGAAGAAAGGCAATTTCTTCAGAGAAGCAACACTACTGAAAGCCAAGCTCTCCTCAGCCCCCAGGGCTCTCCCAGCACTGAAGCCCAGCCAGAAACCAGCTCAGGAGACCCTTCTGGTTCCTCCGTGTGGCACCCATCCCTGTTCCCCTACTATTTCAGTTAACAACTGTGTTCCTCCCTTGCAGCCAGGCCGCCAGTGCAGGAGGGAGATGCAGCTGCAGCCTTGAGCGGGTGCTGCCAGAACCGTCTGTGATCCACCTCCACAAGCCCAGCACCAGCCATGAGCCGCTTCTTCTCACGCCTGGACCCACGGCGGGTGCCATGGGGGGCAGCGGGCCATGCCCTGCGCACCCGCGTCCTGCGCACCAAGCCAGTGGAGTCAATGCTGGAGGGCACAGGGACCACTGCCACCCAGGGTGCCAGGCTGGCTAAGGTGCTCACCACCCTTGACCTCATCTCCCTTGGCGTCGGGAGCTGTGTGGGCACAGGCATGTACGTAGTGTCTGGCCTGGTGGCCAAGGAGATGGCAGGGCCCGGGGTCATCGTTTCCTTCATCATCGCTGCTGTTGCCTCCATCTTGTCAGGTGAGTCATGTGCGTGCCTTTTGAGTACATGTCATTACGTGCAACCCCTGGCTCTATTTGTGGGTGGACGCTTGGGAGGACTCAAGCTCAGCAGCACAAGCTACAAAGAAGTAGCAACTTCTCCATAGACTAAAAACCCTTTCACACTGGGCTTACCACCTCAGGTGCACTGTCTCTCATTGCCCAAATATCAAACCGAACCTAATGCCCTGGGAGCCAGCAGCCTAAGTGTAATTACCCCAATGAGCTGCTGATGGCATCCCCAGGGATGGAGCCTGTGGTCAGTATGTTTTCAAAGAGCTGAAAGTTTTGCAGTGTGTGTCCAAGGCAGAGAGTGTGTCTGAGCCACAGCATTGGAGCAGGAGTGCAACATGGTGTGTGGGAAACCCTGGCTCAACAGGAAAGCTGTCATGGCTTGGGTATCACTGGGGCCAGTTTCTTCTGCTATCAACATTGATAACAGTTAAAGAAATTCCTCTATTGGTTTTGGAGTTGATTTTATTGACTCCTATACACGCAGGATCACTGTTTGAATTTCCAAACAAAAAAACCAACAAACAACTGCAAAAACAGAGGAATTACGTATTTTAGTGAAAAGCCATTGAATTCCATCTCCTCTGTAGGAACCCAGCTGAGCATATGGCTTGAGCTGCAGTTTCCACATGAAGCCAGTACTGCTGGCATTTGTCCTTTCCAGATCAGTGCTAACACGATGATGTGATGTCCCTGCTCGGAGGACTTTGCATGCTGTGTCAGTCTGGTATCCAGCTTTTATCTGCAGGTTGGATAAGGAAACCTGAGTAAATGGCAAAGGGCTTTGACAGAAGACAGGAACAGCAAACACAAAGTGACCCAACTCAGCTTTTCAAGTTTTGGATTTTTGTAGGGAGAGATGAAAGCACATTATGCTCTTTCCCTGGAGGTTGTAGTGCTGCTCCATGGAGATCCTACCAAAGTGCATGTGAGTTTGAACCCCTACACCCCAGACACAGCCCTGGCACAGCATGGGGATGAGAGTCACCCTCTCTCCAAAGCTATGCCAGGGAGAACGAGCCAAGTGATGCTGGCTAGGTACCACCACACAGACTCACAGATCCCCACTCACTAGCTGGATCACAGTGACAAGGAGCTCAGACACATATACCACTGGTTTATCCTAGAACAAGAGCTGAGAACTCACTGAGTGCAGTGAGATCCCTTGCTTGAGATCTCAACACAACAGATGAACCAGAATGCCCATTTTTTAACCAAGGCAGTAGGTAGCATCAGTGTCTTTATCTTTTACCAGTGCCTGCTTTCTCTCCTCTACGAGGGTTTTGCTGGCTATGATGCAAACCAAGAGCAAACGGAGCTTGGGTGCGTCTCATCAAACAAAAACATGCTGTGCTCCAAAAAGGGGCTTTTTCACCCCAGACGTGAACCCTGCCCCACAGCAGGGAGCTCCTCCTGCCTTTGCCCACAGGAGCCTGCACTGCTTGCCACTCAGCTTTCATCTCCCCTTGCTTTTGTAGCCCTGGGAAAGTGTTTTGCAAAGGATGCAGTGTTTTGATAGTCTCCTTGGCTGCTTCCTCACTTCATCCTTGACACTGCTGTTGCTTTTAACAGCAACACATTTTTGGCAAATGAAACCAAGCAAGAGTCTGGGCTGAACAGGCTATTTGGCTCGTTGAGAACACAATTTCAGCTCTCGCATCATGGTCACTCCTGGTGGGCTAGGCACTGAGCTTGGGCAGGTGTGCACAGACAGATTTTGAGGAACTTCTTACAGTTTTAAGGCCAGATGGGAACACTAGATCACCTTCTCTGCCTTGGTGCACCACAGATCACCACGTCAGATCCCACTCTCTTTTAAGCTAGCCCAGAAGGGTTTTGGCTAAAAAAATGCCCCTTCCAGAAAGCCATTTGGCTCCCTGGGAACAGCCCCAGGGAAGCCCCGCCAGGCAGGTCCTGCCAGTGAGAAATCCCTATGCACTGTTTAGCCCTGATAGGGAGTTTTCTGACTTCATCTGCCAGACAAACTGCAGTTATGCCTTCCCCTAGGTTTAAACAGCATGTGCTCCATCAGGGTACTTACAGACAGACTGTAATTGATTAAGCTGATAAATTAAATCAATCTCTTTTATTCTGTCACTGGAAAGCCTTTTATTCAGCTGTCAAACAGAAATGCTTGCCTAACTTCCCCTCACAAAGCCTCCAGCGCAGGGAACACCACAGGTTCCCTCCATAAGCTGTGACCACTGGGATTCCCCACTCTTAACTTCGTGTCTAACCAAAACCCCTTGTTGGCAGAAATCAGCATCCTACCCAACCCCATTGCCCTCTCCCCAGCTTTTGCCACCAGCCATTGCTTGTGCCTTTGGTGATCTCCTTTCCTAAAGTAACAAAACCTCATGGAGCACACTCTGCAAACCACTTATTGTAAGCTCAGGCAAGAGCTAGGTCCTCCCACATGATGGTTACAGGTGTGGGATAGCTTTCACTGTGACAAAACTCCACAAGCTTTTGTGTCAGACTGTGCAAGAAAAGAAGAGACTCTCCCATGAGAACTGCTCTGTAACCCCAGGAACCCTTGGTGGGGATTTCAAGCACCAAGCTACAGAGTTTTGGAGCATACTGATGTACTCTTACCTGGTATGCATGTGGGAGCAGGCTCAGCAACAGCCTTGGTGCACAACAGAGCAGGATATAGCTGAGCATGTGTCTCAGGTGCTGCAGGATGAGGTCCACAATGCGGTGCTCCAGCTGAGGCTGATCATCGGCCGCTTCCGTGCTGCTGGAGAGTTGGGAGTCCTTTTTCTAAGGAAGCTTTCTTTACAGAGCTGCCTTTTATATATCTGCACACAGTGACTGTGGAACACAATGGACAGGCTTTCTGAAAATAGTGTTTTGCTGTACATCTGCCTCCATAAATTGATTGCTTTTGGTTAATGAAGGATAGTCCCTCTAGATGCCTCTCCAGCAAAAGTCCCCAGTGAGCAGGTCAGGATGCCAATGCCCAAGCCACTGCTAACATAGAAACATCTGACCTGTATACTGACACTGTATGCAAAGCTTCTGGTTGCCTCACCTCCTACCCTCAAACAAGATAAACCAGAGAATGGAGAGATCAATTAAATCTGAAAAATTGGGTTTTGTAGATGGGATCTTGGAAGGACCAAAGTCATGGACCAAACCACTCAGCTGTGTTTACGTCTTGCTGAATAATGGCAATAATTGTGTAATTATATCAGCATTATGACCATCACAGCAGTTACAAATGTAGCTGATAGTCAGAGAAAAGAAATGTAAAAAGCCTGCTCTTCTAAACAACCACTGTGTTGGTTTGTTTTCTGCCAAAACTTGCAAACACACTTGACTGGGGAGGGAGAGGAAATCTGTCTTCAAATTCAAAGAGAGAGGTCTCAGCATCCCCTTCAGACCTGGAGCCAGGCACTGGCAGAACTGCACCTCTTCGGGTACAGGGGATGAAGTACTGAATAGCAGGAGAGTACAAGAAATAACTAAGATGCAGTTGTAGTGTAATAATAATAATAATAATAATACACTAGTGATGCAGTAGAGATTAGTGAGATAAAATCTGCACCCTGATGGATTGTGAAATTTTCTTCCTTTTTAAGCAGAGAGGGACGTGCTGTGAACCCTGTTTCTGACGAAGGACCTGCAGCACCACAAAGTAAAGTGATTTGATCAGTGGCACCTGATACAGCCATTGACAGTCAGGGGTGGATGACAGATCTTGCATCACGTGTAGCCTGGACTGGACGTTGCATGCTATGATAGAAAGTACTTTATTTTCTTAATATATGCTGATACCTAATGCAGATAGCCACAATGTGTTGCTGTACCCAATGCACAGTGAAAGACTGATGTTCTAGTTTGAGATCCTAGTAAAGTAACTGAAAACTCAAACATTTTATACATATTAATGTCTTTGCTTTACCATGATCATCTGTATCAATAACAATCATCTTTAATCCTTATCTTGTCATTGGCTAAAAGTAGAGTTGCCTCCAAAAAATATTACGTGATTTTTAAGGCCATCAAAGAGAGAAACTAGACACTTGTCCCCATCAGAGCACCTGTTTCATAAATCATTCAGGCCTGTAGTTATCTATGAATGTCTTACCTTTGCTGAGTGCATGCATTTTTCATCAGCTTTAAATAACGACCATCTGTAAGGCTGGATGATGGGAATGTCTTGCTGCTCCTGTAGTTGGGCCTGCTTTACAGAAATCAGGCTTTGAAGACCCCCATTGCAAAGCACTGCCAGCATTGTGCATGCAAGTTAACAGTGAATGGAATGTAAAAATCCTCCAATACCAAGAAAAGAATCACCACCAAATTCAGCGTAAGGATTCAATAATTCTGTGTTTGTACCGTGTAAAAACTGCACTAGCAGTGAGAACAGCAACCTCTTAACTTTTTTATAAATTATTCATTTCTTTCTCTATACTGAACTGATTGCAAATTTGAAGCAATTATTATCTTCTAAATAGAGAATAGTAGTTGATAAAGAGCCCACTAATTACTACATGTTCACACAATGATAGTAACAGCGCTAACCCGTTATCCCATACAAGCTGAACTGTAGTCTTTGGGGCAAGGGCTCAATCAGCGTTAAACACGCAGGACACAGTGTGCCCTTCCAGGACTTGTTCTGACTAATATTTGGGGAATTTATGACTAAGTCCATCCAATCCTTTTAAATAAAATCTAATGGTTGTTTTAAGACATCAATGTGTCAGGGTCAAGTTTTTATTGAAAAGTATCCTGACATAGTAAGTACACAAGGAGTTTGGAAAGTATTAAAGTCCACTGAAATCGCCTCCTAAAGAGTTCCTATTAAATACTTCTTTTTGCTTCTCTTCTTCTGCAAAGTCAGTTTTGCAAGTGTTCTTCAGAATGAGACTTACGTGTAACATTTTTGAGTGTCAAAATAACTTGTTCTCTGCGTAAGATGGCTTTAAACTCTTCTTGCATGGGTACAAATTAAAGCAGGGATGAGCAGGACAGTTCTCATGCCTGGATCTTCATAGCAGTAACCCAAGATAGGTATTAGGAGATTGCATAGCCAGGGCAAGGAGCGGTATAGGATTGCATGAGCCCTCCTGTAGCGTCTTGCTCTAGGATGAGGCTGGGCAAAAGTGGTCCAGGATCCCACACAGTGATTAGAACCACCCCTGACCTCCCTGTGCTCTACAGTACTTCAAAGAAACATAAACACTGTCCTCTGGCAGGTCCCACTGTAACCACCTTTCCCCGGCAAGCCCCAGGGCTATGATGGTTTCTGCAGCCAAAAGCACTGGGAGCTTACCAGAACATGGATACCACAATAAAACATTTTATAAAATCCCAGGAAAAACAGCAAAAATCATGTTATGGTGTCATGGTTGGATGGGGAAGACGAGGTACCTATCATCGTCAAAGCTACTTCAGGGAAACAGGGCTCCAAGCACCACAACACCCATGGTGCTCAGTTCTATACCCAGCTTTAGTTTTGTGTTGGGGGGGGCTGCAGTTGGCCATGCCAAAGGTCCCACATCAGAGGCATACACCTGTGACAAGGCTTTTCTGCAACAGGCTGTGAAGGCTTGGATAGTTTGAACTGTGCAGCCATAAAAAAAAAAGAAGAAAAAAGAAAAAAATCACAGCTTGATTTTAATGAAAAATGGGTTGGATTTTAACCCAAATGACTGGGGAGGGAGGGTCATCATAGCCCCCTGTGATGTCTCTGTGCTCCTGATGCTGACTACAGCCCTGAGCATTTCCTGGCACCTCCATGCAGGTGAAACCAAGGCAGTTTCGATTTCTCCTTTTCCAAGCACATTTTCCTTACGTTGTTCCATGTTTTTCTAACCAGGAGTTTGCTACGCTGAGTTTGGTGTGCGGGTCCCCAAGACCACGGGCTCTGCCTACACCTACAGCTATGTGACAGTGGGGGAGTTTGTGGCATTCTTCATTGGCTGGAACCTCATCCTGGAGTACCTGATTGGCACGGCCGCAGGCGCCAGTGCCCTCAGCAGCATGTTTGACTCGCTGGCCAACCACACCATCAGCCGCTGGATGATCAACAGCGTCGGGACACTGAACGGACTAGGTGCGTCATGCTGTGCATAGGCTCCCAATCACTCAAAAAGTAATTGGAAGCTCGTCAGAAGTCAGACATGGATATTAGGCTTCATTCATTATTTACTATCCGTCTGCCTCTGGTACTTTGCCTTTGCAGTCTGGTTCATAGATGGGATTCAGGGAATGGGGTACACAATACTTTGAGCCCCTTTGGGATCAGCTGGCATTTAGCAGAATAAGCACCCAGAAAAATTAGTCAAATGCCAGAGGCTAGGGACAATACAGGAGCACTTCACCCAGTGCAAGCACTCTGCTTGGTCCTGTTAAAGCACACGCTTGTACTCTCTTGTTAGAGAGTACAAGCTGGTGTCTACGGTACTGCCATATAGAAACTCAGGGTTGTGATGGTCCTGTATGAACAGCAGTTCCAGTCCATAGTTCCCACCAATAAGTAAAACAGCCAGCTGTCCTATACCTGTGTCATGAGAACTTGGTGTTTGATTGATTTTTAACTAGTACTAAGCAGACATGTTATGCAGACTGGGATCTGATTGTTTCTTCTCTGCCCTCACAAAGCTCCTAACAGTGTCTTGAGGCAACAAGATTTATTACCTTAATAAAACAACTTTAGCTAGCAGAGGCAGGAGCATCTGGAGCCTGACTTTGCAATGAGGCCAAGGGGTTCTGCAAAGCCTCAGGATCTGAAAAGTGTTTAAAAAAGCCCCTACAGAGTTTCTGAAGGTGCTGTCTGCAGCTATGGATTCAGAGTTAAACACCTCTTTTCTCTTACCTAGGGAAAGGAGAGGAGTCGTACCCTGACCTTCTTGCTCTGGTCATTGCTGTCATTGTCACCATCATTGTAGCAATAGGGGTGAAGAACTCAGTGGGGCTGAACAACGTGCTCAACGTCATTAACCTGGCAGTCTGGATCTTTATCATGATCGCTGGTCTCTTCTATATTAAAAGTGACAACTGGGCTGAAGGGCAATTCCTGCCATTTGGATGGCCGGGGGTAAGTCCTGGGCACAGGGAGGGACACACAGCACCTCAGCCGAGCCACACACTTCGTGGTGGTGTATACCGCTCATCTTTCCTTGTGGTATACACACCCTACTGCCACTGCAGTCCCCAGATCTCAACCCTGCTAAACCTACCTGTGTGTCGGCCAAGGACCTCCAACTTCCAGCACTGTAGGCTTGGATCCAGGCCTCCTCACTCCACCAGACCCAAAGAGTTCGGCAATGCTTTACCCATATCTCTTAGAAAAAAAAACCCAAATTTTCCCAAAACTTCCTCCTCAAGAGCCAAACTCCACATGAATGTGTACCCCAGGAAATGTCACTAATTGCCTGGCAATGGAGCAAAATGCAGTGGCCATCCAAGACAGAGTGCTCAGGAGGAGCTGGCTCAGCCTCTGCTGAGGGGGAGATACTTGTGTTGGCTGTTTTTCAACAACAATGTTCTCAAGCATTTGTTTTGAGCACTTCATAACGCCACCTGCCAGTACTTATTTTATGGATGTTTCCCTAAAGCTTACTGAGAATTTGGACATATTTGGCTTTTTTAGCTTGCTTGCCCTGGTTTTTATCCAAAGATGAACAGAGACTGAAAATATCTCAGCTGGCCTAAACCCAAGATAATTTCTCAGATTTACACTGCTCAACTCCATCAGGGTTTTGTGCAGAAAAACAAGCAAGAAAGTAAAATAAACCAAGAGTCTTGATTATTGAAAGGGTCCCAAGCTGCCTTACAGTCCCTGCACCTCCCTTTAGTAAATCAATACCTCTCTGCCAGAGAACAACAGTGACAAGAGCACTGAAGCCCATTCAAGAGCAGAGATTATATTTACCTTTGCATTGTGCTTGGCTTTTTATGCCATACAATAGGAATGAAAAAGAGAAAATGGAAAGCAGCTGGTTTGCTCCAATCAAACTCACCAAATATGTCCTGGCAAAAAAAAATCATAGATTTAAATAAATGCATATCCAAACCACATCAAAACTTATAGGGTCTTCCCACCATTTTCAGCTGGCTGTTTGTCTATTTGTTTGTAAAAGTAAATCCACCAGGAACATAGGGGATACTTTAAAAAGGTGATTACAGGTAGTCTCCTGAAAGAGGTGTTACTGTGTGCTCCATCACTAGACAGCTGAGATGACAGGAATGTGAAGAACGTGTGATACCCAGCTAACTAGCTAGACACATGCAAACGGTCACTCACAGACACACAGTCTTTAGCCAGCTCTAGCATTGCTTTCCTATCATTGTCCTTGCTACTATTGTATATTTTTAAAAATCGTATTAAAAAATAACCAAACAGTACAAATAATTCCTCATTCAAGTGCTCCAATGTGTGCTCCTAACCTGTCTGCAGCTTCCAAGCAAAACAAAGGTTTGGAAAATGGAGTACATTTGACTGTTGCTGCTCTCTTCTGCTTCCTCTGCTAGCAGACCTTGCTGCCACATGAGACATCTTGCTAAGCATGTAAACATGCTCCAAATCCCTAATAATATAAAGGGTTTTGAGGTGGAGGATTGTGAAAGCAAACCTGAAATTGGTTAATTGTCTCCTCTGTCACTGCCAGGATCTCCCAGCAGATCTGGGCACCGCATGGGCTCAGGTTTGTGGTGCACCACGAGTGAGCTGCAGATACCCCCCAGTGGCTCGGGCCACATGTTGGAATCTTTTCCCTAGGCCAGATCACTGTGCTATGGGTGTTCCCAGGGCCAGTCCCCTGATGGGAATGCCCAGCAATATGTGTGCACCCCTTGATCTGACCCACTCACCCTGTAGCTCCAAGGAGGCAGAACTGGGCTCCTTCATTTCTGCTCAGTTCCCTCTCCCTGGATGGGTGCCAGCCTCATTCCTGGCACTCAGATGCTTGATCCTCCATGCAGGTGCTCAAAGGGGCTGCGACCTGTTTCTATGCCTTCATCGGCTTTGACATCATTGCTACCACGGGAGAAGAAGCAAAGAACCCCAACACCTCCATCCCATACGCCATCACGGCCTCACTCGTCATGTGTTTGACAGCATATGTGTCAGTAAGTACTAGTTGTACATGTGTAAATGTACATGAATATGTATGTATGCATATATATAGTTAAAAAATTATATATATATATAGCGCGTCCCTTCTGGGCATCTGCGCGGCTGCCCTCCCCATGAGCCAGGGTGCCAGTCTGACCCTCAGACAAGGGCCCTTTCTGTGGTGGGAACTGAGACATCAGCTGTGTTTCCATGTGTCCGCATCACCCTGCCGAGGCTCACCTCGGCCGCAGCCCAGTGTGTCCTCAGGCTCCCGACACCCTGCCGAGATCCCTCTGCTGGCTGCAGGGAGATGGTGACACCCAGCTTTTTCCTCACCCCTCATCCTGATCCACAGCTATTTTTGCTTCCATAAGTGCAGCAAAGCAGGAGCAGCAGCACTGCAGCAACTTTCTGCATGTTTTGGGGAAAAGCAGCACTGCCTCCGCTGGAGATATGGGAGAGGGTCCACGTGAGTGGGAGGATGGGCAGGGATAGACATGCCAGAGATACCCAGCTGCTCTGCACCCCTGTAAGTGCATGCCTGTACTCAGGGATTTTCCTTGTAAAAAGCAAAATTGAGTCACAAAGGAGAAATCCCACTGTTCTGATCATTTCAAATAAACTCAGCCACTGCCTCTCCTGCAGCATGGTGCCCTTCCTTCAAAACCAATTCTTTTGGCTTGAATAGCATCATAGTGTAGCCCCAAGCAATGATGTCTTGGGTTTTCACGCGACCCATGAGGAGTACATGACTCGGGCAGTGCTGTCCCTGCACAGGAACACAGCCAACGCAGGTGTAACTAGCCTCTCCCAGTCCCACCAGTCTCCTGCATCACCACAGCAGAAGGGTTCAAGGTGTCACCTTCTTGCCATGGCAGTCTGAGGCCCCACAGTTTCTGGATTAAACACCCAGGAGTGGTAACAGGAAAGTGTTTACAGGCCTTACCTCCAGCATTTTACATTCCCTCCCCAGAGGACATAGGGATGCAGTCCCAGTCAGACTGGGAATTTTTGGCTTTCCACCCTTGAGAAGCAGCCCCCGCACACTGCTGCTGACACCTCTGTCCTGCTACTCTTGTCTTCTCCCCAGGTGAGCATCATCCTCACACTGATGGTGCCCTATGATGCCATCGACACAGAGTCCCCACTGATGGAAATGTTTGTGGCTCACGGCTTCAACGCAGCCAAGTTCATTGTTGCCATTGGGTCTGTGGCTGGCCTGACTGTCAGCTTGCTGGGATCCCTCTTCCCAATGCCGAGAGTCATTTATGCCATGGCTGGTGATGGACTGCTCTTCAGGTCAGTCATGCCCATGCTGGCATTTATTTTTGCCCCCTTGGAACCCCAAGGGGTGGTTTTCTGGGGAGGGGGTCTCTCCTGTGCGCTAACAAGCCAGTGGCATCACTGCAGGGAGCAGTGGTCATGCACAGACTCGGTGCCTGCAGAATGGGGCACACACCAAAGCAAAATCATGGTGTGTAGGGGGTGAAATTAGGAGTGATCTATGCAAAAGTTTCTCTCTTGGTGCTGGTACCTAGAGGCTCAGCTTATGTGAGGATGAGCGCTCAATTCAAGAGTTACTTGCAAAGGAGAGCAGCTAATATGCATAAAATCTTGGCACTTACTCACGAGTGTCCAAACGCCCATTTCATTGCTGGTTAGACCTAGATGTAACTCCAGATCCATCCTCAACAATATTTCCAGTCCCCAGCTGTCTGGAGTCTAAGCTTCAAGAAGCAACAAGAGCTGTAGGGACCACAGCTCTGAGCCTGGCCTCAGGTAAGGGCAATTGCGAAAGGAACCACTGTCATCTGCAGTTTTAACCTTATGCAACTGTTTTACACTCCAGATTTTTGTCCCACGTCAGTTCTTACACGGAAACCCCTGTAGTGGCTTGTATTGTCTCCGGATTCCTCGCAGCACTGCTCTCCTTGCTGGTTAGCCTGCGGGACCTGATAGAAATGATGTCCATTGGCACGCTGCTTGCCTACACGCTGGTCTCCGTCTGTGTCCTGCTCCTCCGATACCAGCCCGAGAGTGACATTGATGGCTTTGTCAAATTCCTCTCTGAGGAGCACACCAAGAAGAAGGAGGGCATCCTGGCCGACTGTGAGAAGGAGGCTTGCTCCCCGGGAAGTGAAGGAGAAGAGTTTGCTGGCCCACCGACCAACACGTGTGGAGCAAAAAATCTCCCATCACTGGGGGACAACGAGATGCTAATTGGGAAATCTGATAAATCCACCTACAGCGTGAATCATCCCAATTACGGTACAGTAGACATGACCACAGGAATAGAGGCGGATGAGTCGGAGAACATCTACCTCATTAAGCTGAAGAAGTTGATCGGCCCTCGCTACTACACGATGCGGATCCACCTCGGACTGCCAGGGAAAATGGACCGCCCCACGGTGGCCACTGGCCACACAGTCACCACCTGCGTGCTCCTGCTCTTTGTCCTCATGTTCATCTTCTGCTCCTTCATCATTTTTGGGGCAGACTACATCTACGAGCAGAGCTGGTGGGCTGTCCTCCTCGTCGTGCTGATGATCCTGCTCATCATTGTGCTGGTGTTTGTGATCCTGCAGCAGCCAGAAAACCCCAAGAAGCTGCCCTACATGGCACCTTGCCTGCCCTTTGTCCCTGCCTTTGCTATGCTGGTGAATATCTATCTCATGCTGAAGCTCTCCACTGTCACGTGGATCCGATTTGCCGTATGGTGTTTTGTGGGTGAGTCCCAGGTTCATTTGTTTTGTTCTTCTATCTAATGCTCTTTTGAAAGGGTGTTAATAATAACCTGCTTCTTCACCTGGGACATACATCCTTTTCATTTGTCCCTTGTCATCCTGAAGTTCTTATAAACCTCAGTTAATCAAGCCCCCGAACCGCAGCTAGATGGAGAATTACACCTCCAGAAAATGTCAGCTTGATGGCAATAAACTGTTCCATGCAAAGGTGACTGTTTTGATGGGTCTTTTGATGTGAGGTAGGTGGGTTCTGCAGATTGCCTCACAGGCAGGTTTCCTACAGAAATCTGCCTGCTTTCTTGCTATTTCACCCACTTGAGCTCTTCAGCAGCCCACACCAATACCTCAGCACTGCTTTTCCAAAGACCAGAGCTGCGCAACCCAAACAGCCCTGGAGAATCAGAGCCAAGGGATCTGTGGACTATATCTCCTTTTCTCGGTCTAAGTCCTTAACTCTGTGGCAGGGGGATCTCAGGACTTGCAGGCTTTGTTGTAGACTTTTTTTGCCAAATTTAGTCTTCCTGGAACATGGCCATGGCTTGGCATGTTGTTCTGGGTTCATAGTTTCCCTTGCTTTACATTGCAACCCACTTACTCCACAAACCCAAGAGAAAAAGACCAGCTCTCGTTGCTCCTCCTGAAGGCTCCCAAGCCTGTACTATAGAGAACTGAAGCAACAAGACAGTGCCAAAGCCAAGGGGCTCTTTACAGAGAAATGATAACCGCAGAGGTAAACATATATATTTCAGCAGCCCACAGGGGCAACAGTTGTAGACAACAGACCCAGCTGCCAGCAATGGCAGTGAGACAATTAAGCCACACCTTTAATGTGTAATGGACTCCACCAGTCCCATCCACGGCTGCTTGCCTGCTGAGGAGGTAAATCCCATTTGCTTTTATGGCAGAGATGTGCAGTCCTGCCACACAGACTCTGGATTTAACCTCAGAAGCAGTTCTGCATTGCCAGTCTTAGACTGTGGAGAAGTCTGGGTTTCTCCATGCACATATCTGGTGTAGGTTAAACCCAGGTGCACTGGAAATTAGATCTCCAGCTACATTTGCTTCCAGGGAAAGCATTGGTGCAGAAAGGTGAGATCAGGTGGGAGAAGACAAAATGAAATTACTGAGGGGAAGAGGACAGTGTTTCAGAGCTGGTTTAATACCAAATACACCCCTCCTGACAGCCCTGGGGCACACGTGGCTGTGAGCACCAGTGGGAGAGAGACTGAGAGCGTGAGAGAACTCCAAGAGGAAAAAGATAGCCAGGAGCATAGCAGGTGGAGATGTGGGTTGTTGGGACTTGGGAGCCTCCACACATCTGCTGGGAGCTGTGGTCCTACCGAGGCTGCGGATGGCATGATAGCATGGCCAGCAGCAATCCCAGCTGATGTTTAAAATATACAGACAGCCCTCGGGTCACAGCTGGCAGCCTCAAAACACACACTCAGCAGCTTCAAAGAGCAGACATCAACTACAGCATACACTAGGCTTTAAAAATAGAGGTATATTTACTTACACTTAATTGTCAGCTGGAGCCAGCCCAGCGTAGGTGGAAGAGGCTGGTGGTGAGCTGGGCTGCATCCCCAACCCACCCCTGATGTGGGGGTCAGGTGCCATTCTGGGGCATGGTGTTTTACCAAAGCAGCTGGTGTCCAACCCTCTCCCTTTCACCCTCCACAGGTCTGCTCATATACTTTGGCTATGGGATGTGGAACAGCACGCTGGAGATCAGCGCTCGGGAGGAGGCGCTCCACCAGAGCACCTATCAGCGCTATGATGTGGATGTCGACCCCTTCTCTGTGGATGACGGCTTCTCCTATGCCACTGAGGGTGAGGGCTTCCCAGGCTGGGGTCCCTCTGAGGACAAGGGCTTCTCGTACCAGCAAATGGCAGGAGCAAAGGAAAGCCATCGGACGAGTGGCAGGTCGAAAAGCAAAGGCAGGCACAAACAGCCGTCGGAGGCTCTTATCGCCAACGATGAGTTGGACTACTCACCCGAATAGCAGGGTGGACAGCGGGGTGCCATGCTGCCCAGCCAATGAGGAAGGGTCCCCACGGTTCAACCATCCTGTCCCACTATCCCCGGGTCCTCCACCACCCCCCTTGCTCACCTCTGGTCCTTGGGACACTCTCTGCGATTGCCATTGGCCCCAAATCAACACACTTGTGGCCTGTCCTGGCTCCTTTTGGTGAGGTCTCGCTTTGGTGAATGCCAGCTGCTCCTCTGGCACTGGCTGATCTTCCAGCACCAGCCGTGCCACGGAGGCAGTGAAGTGGGAGATGTGCCAAACTGGGTGGATGTTGAGAGGTGGACACACGAGGGGACAAGTCCCTGGGAAATGTCCACCCGGTGGCTGCAGCAGTGGGATGCTTCTCTTACATTTTTGGCACTTTCTTAGCACATGTTTTTTTTTCTTTGAACCACCTAAAAGTAATAGCTGAGCCAATGGGACAGATAGGTAGGTAAGTGCAGAATGGAGATGGACAAGCCCATTTCAAGGAAGCTGCTCAGAGATGGACCCAGGGATGCTGGTCCTACATCACACAGCGTTTCCATAGCCTGTTCTCTGCAAAGTGCACACCGCAGTGTTATTCCCGAACCCAAGTCCCCCAGATACTGTCATCCAAAATTGGTCCACGTCTCAATCAAACCTTGAAGTCACAGCACAGCCAAACACCCCAAATGTGTGGCTGGGAGCCTAGTCCCATATCTGGTCACAGTGATGGCTGTGACACACTCTTGGCTCAATCCACCTTGTGTGAATGGCCAGCAAGGACCAGACGCCAATTCTCTGAGCATCACCAGGCTGAGGCTGGGTGCTGTTTCCACCGTATCGTGTCTTTTACAGAAATGACTGTGCCGTAATCCCCTTGCTGCAGTGGGCACATTTTAGCGCTCGCTCTGGCTTCAGTGCTTCAGGGGATGCACCTGTGCCCCTGCAAAGTAGCAGTGTCCATGGGTCAGCCACACCTTGGCAGGGTGGGCCACGTATGGCAAGCAGAGGGGACTTGGCCGCTGAAATCCCTGCTGCTGTCTCCACCTTGTACCATTTTCTCTGTTTCTGACCCTGTCTTGATGGATTCTGTATGAAAAAAACACTGAAACACTGCGCATTCTATAAGTGTCTGTATTTCAACTTGTAACCAAACAGAGCTGGTGGCTCGTGGTGCAGAGGTGGTCAGCACATGGATGTTTCTCATAGTTAAACCCCCCAGTACAGCTTAAGGATGGCCATGATTCCCAGAAGTGCCATCAGGTTCTCTGCCACCAGTGTCCCCACAGCACCATTGATGGTGACGGTGCTTGGTTGCAGGCACCACAACTTCACTGCTGAGTCAGCGATTGGCAGCAGCTCCAATTCTGGAACCCATCTCCAACTTAGTTTGAAACATTGCTGAACCCAGGACACACGTAAGGACCCCATCAGACAGCGACACCCACCCTCTACTCAGCTGGTGAAAGCTGCAGCCAGATCCATCTTTGGGACTCCCCTGGAACAACCCAGACCAATCCCAGTAGCCGGGGCTGCCCCTAGCATCCTAGGGGACAATTTAACATTGATGGGGCACGAGGTAGGATTTCCAGCGTGTGATGCTGAGAACCATTAACTGTTTGGTTCAGTGAATGAGGCACAGCTCCCAAAACACAGCACAGAGCTTGCCTAGCACCCTCTGTGGGCAAGCGGATTGCTGGGTGCATAGGGTGCCTGGACCCATACTCGTCCACATCACTCCTGGGGCTCAGGGGCTCAATGGAGAGGTGATTCCTGTAACTGAGGAAGTTTCCCTGCAGCTTCTGTTCCAGATGGTAACAAACTACGGTCCTTTTCCCAGCAAAGAGCATCCCATTCTGCAGATCTTAACCCAGAGTGCCCCAGGAAACCAAGGGAAGTTTGACCTCTGTGAGGGCTTCAGAATGGGGGCAAGGATTTGGCAAAAGGACTCGTAAGCTTCGCTCTGGCATCTCCTTCCATTGCCCGCCCCTACCAGACTTCTACAGTCAGAAATCATGAGTGTGTTCCACTGAAAAGCTGCTTGCAATATACGCACCACTCACGGACCAGCTTGGGAAACCTTTCCAGCAGTGCTGAGCACTTCTTGCAAAGGTCACCTCTCACTTGTGCTTAACTGCTCTTGTCCTCAATGCCTTAGAAGTACCCAAGAGAGATGGCACCTCACAGGTCTGGCTTTACCTTTTCAGGGAGAAAGATTGATGCTATTTTCCTACCAGCTCTTATACTATACTGTATCCAAGGTAGTTGTCTTTGTCCTGCTTCCACATGGTATTTAGGCATCTGCTGAACCACAAACTCATGCCCAAGTACCCTGTCGAATCGAAGTCTGTTATTCCTTTTGCAGCCTTAATCTCTTGCTACAGAGCAGTTACCAGTACCAGTGTCTGTTGTCATGGCTTCTCTGGTTACTCTGTATAATTTGATGAGGACTTGATCTCTTGCTCTTTGGTGTCTCTAAGAACCCTCCGTTGGATCCATGTATTGAGTGAAGCCCTTCAGCTACTCCTGTTCCCATTCACACATCCCCCTTCCACTTCCCAGGGAAGTGCCGGGGCAGGATATCTGCGCCTTATTCCCAGGACTGCTGGAAAACGGTGTTTGATGCAATGGCACTGTCTGATGTGGGTGGGCTGCCATCAGTCCTCACCGTGTCAGGGGTGAGAGCTGTACCCTCCTCCCGAGCCCACCACATCCCACCTAACAGAGGTGCATAAGGAGAAGGCAGCCGAGCCGCAGGCTGGGTCTAGCCTGTGCTTGCTGGCAGCTGAGCGGCCAGTGCCCAAGGAGGCTGGTTTGCAGTGGGGTCCCTGCACCCTGCTCTGGATGGCAGTGCTTGAGGGACATGCGGGTTCAGCCTCCGTTTGGGAGCTCACGTGCTTTCCCCTGTAGCAAGCATTAGGGTCTTCAATGGGGACAAGCAAGAGCTGCAAAGTCCAACACTTTCAGGTGTTTCCATCACCTCCAGGCACCGCTGGCACCAGAAGAGGTTTTGGACACTAGGAGAGGTGCAAATGCGTGTTTTGGTGTAACCCCATAACCTAGCCTTCCACATGGGTGACCTCAGATTGGTTCCCCCACCTCTGGCCCACCAGGAGGACACAGGCAGAGTGGTACCATGCTGCATGAGAGGCACACAGCCCCTCCGTGCCTGACCGCCCTCCACAGGGCATACACCAGGGAGGGCAATGCATGATACTGATGGAGCATAAATACCTCAACTCTTCCAGACCGACTCTATAAGATCTCATCCCTCCACAACTCCACTCCGCATGGTTACGACCGCTCAGTGCAAGTTGCAGCACACCGGCATCCTCCACGTGGCAGAGAAATCACGCACTGAATGACATGGGATGTTGTAAATCCAGCTTGTAAATGATCTCCACTTTGTCCTGTTCAGTCTTTCTGATGTATATCTTGCTTTTTTTGCGGGTGGTACTTTCTGGTGTAATAATTCTCTGCAGTTCTGGTATGAAATTGGTGTATTTGTTAAAAACAGTTTGTTCTATTAAAATTTTTTTGTGGTTTCCAAAAGCCCATTGGTGCATTGTACAATGGGATATTGTAGTGTGTCATGAGAAAGAAAAAAATATGCAGATATGTCATGGAGTGAGTTTTCTTTTCAAATGATTGTGTTGTTGGCAATTATACATATTATACATATATATATTGTCAAGATACTATGAAAAAAAGTCTAAATTTACCAAAATCTGTATATTTTAATAAATGCATAAAGCTTTATTGTGTGCCTTTACATCTAAAAATCAAAGAGGAAGAAAGGGACTTTTAAAGGAAGCCAGAAACAAATGTGTCTTAATATCAGTTTCCACAATAATGTAAATCTTTTAAATTAAAAACTAAACAAGGAAAGAGTAAGAAAAAACTCCCATATAAGTCCTGTTAATCCAGTCAGTACCTGGAGATTTGGTATTTTTTCAATGCTAAACTGAAGCAAGAGATGAACAAATCCTGCCTTAAGTGCTTCAGAATTTCCTCTATAGAAGATCCATTTCAGTGGCTGACTTTGGTATTTACTTGCATTGTTGTGAAAAAAATGGTTATCGGTTTATACAACAAAAGACAAGAACAAACCCCTCAAGCTGATGACCGCAGGTTGGCTATTGCAGTGTGAAGTCCTGGGCAGTGCCAGTGTCTTCCCTTCTGCTCACAGTGCTGCCGGCACCCGCCTTTCCCCAGGGTAACTGCGGTGTCACAGCACTATCACCCCCCTGCACAGGCACTAGGGCTGCAGAGAGGCAGGCATCACTCGTGTTCTCATGACTACCTTTCCCCTTCAGGGAGCTCAGAGCCACCAGTAACCCCATATGGGCTCTCTCCTGTTATTTGGGGAATGGGGAGGCTGTCAGGTGCACTCCATGTGATGGAGAGAGGGTCTACTGGAGCTGGGGAGGGCTCCACTGGGGCATCAGGTACCAACTCCTCCATGCCAGGGTGACCACCACAGCTCGCATCCACCACCCACAGCAAAAGATTTATATTTGACTCTATTTTGAGGCTTTGGGTCAGCAAACAAGCACCAAAAGCCTTCAAGAGCCAGCAGCACCTCAGCCAACCCAGCCCAGGAGAGCCCCACAGGGGAGGGGGGGTGTTTGGGGGGTGCAGAGCAGGTATTTAGCTTTGATCATCTAAAACTTAGAAAAGTTTAATGTTCTTTGTGCTTCCTCCAAACACTTCCCCTCTGTGGTGCCAGCACTAATATCCTGTCCTGTTCTTGGCTCCGTCTCCTCACACCCTACAGCTGCAGATGTCTGCTTCCCCCACAGCTGCTCCAGGGTTGTTTCACTTCAGGTTTTTTTCTTATCTTCCCTGAAATACGGCTTCTTCCTTCCTCTGAGCAGCTTGCCCAGGGTCTTTTAAACGCTGGATAAGGGATTGGCTGCCAATAACTGTGACCACAGGCAGAGCAAGCACCATCCCCTGCTGAGGGCCCCCAGACCCATGTACCTGAATGTATAAATGGGTAATCAATATGTATAAACATACAAATGCTGCCTGGTGGGGTTTATCCCCCATTGGGCCATGCATTGGTGCCTGGGCCCCACCAGCGGCACCAACGCCTTGCCGAAAAGAGATCCTCAGGCATCACAGACAGGTTTCCTGTGCTTTTCTCTCCCAGTTTGCTCCAGGGCTGTTTGCAGGCAGTGCTTCAGCAGCTTTCTGCCCTGAAGTCTCCCATGCTGCCGTCAGTCCCGGGGTTAACAGACAGAGCCACTACCCAGCCGGAGCCGCAGCAGCAGCACAATCCACAATCCCTGGGGCAGCCTGCACAAGCTGGCACGTCTGTGCGCCACCCCTTCGCCCGTGGCACCCCCACATCAATGGCAGCACTTACAGCGTCCCTCCAGCGCATACAACAACTGCCTGTGCCCTGCCTGTGATGTAATGGGCACAAGTGTCCTGCCACCGGCCCCGCGCCACTGCCTGCCTTGGGTACATTGTATAGGACAGCAGCAATGCAAAGTTCACACAACAGAGACGCGTTCAAGACTGCTCGGTATTAAAGGCAGATGCTAGGGCTGCTGCCCTCCCTTGTCCGTGCAGGCAAAGGGCCATTGAGGAGCACAGCCATCCTCCTTTTGACTCCTTTTAAATGCTCTGGCCTCAGCTTCCCACATGGAGAAGGAGAGAGGTGGAAGCTATGGTATCCTTGCCTATGGATGTGTTGCCCAGTTTGGATTCTCCAACTGAAGCAGACCTACCACCAAGGCTTGACTAGCAGCATTGTTCTCAAATTCTTCTCCATCACCCCAAACAATTTGGTAGGTCTTCTCCTCTGCTCACTCAATCCCTTCTCCTCCTACACACATCCCCCTTACCCTCACCTGAAGAACAGCTATTCCTTTTTTCCTTCTCCTGAAGCCTGGCGTACACAATTTATTTGAACTGAGTTAACATCTCCTGCAACAGATGGGATTTTGTATCAATGTAATTAAATTGCTACAGCTTCTGTTAAAGGCAGGGTTAGATCTTGACCTTACATGGTTTTAATCCGAGCGATGACCCTGGATCAGACTCTTATTTTTGTTGAAAGCACTCCCGGCAACATGACTTCTCCTCTCCAGCATGCCCAAGCAGGGCTGGGGGTACATCTCCACCACCCAAGTGGGTTTCTAGGTCTCCCCAGTATGAAGAGTACTGCAAGTCAGTACCACTGCTGTAAGCTGCTACTAGGAACATTGAAAGAATGAACAGGTAAGGCAGTAGGCAGTGGTCAGTACCATGCAGGAAGAGTAATCATATTTTAAATACTTAACAGCAAAAAAAGAACAAACCAAAAGGCCAA